TTCTCATTCTCTCTCTCATTCTCTCTCTCTCTCATTCTCTCTCTCTCATTCTCTCTCTCTCTCATTCTCTCTCTCTCTCATTCTCCTCTCTCTCATCATTCTCTCTCTCTCTCATTCTCTCTCTCTCATATTCTCTCTCTCTCTCATTCTCTCTCTCTCTTCATTCTCTCTCTCTCTCTCTCCTCTCTCATTCTCCTCTCTCTCATTCTCTCTCTTCTCTCTCTCTCTTCATTCTCTCTTCTCTCTTCTCTCATTCTCTCTCTCTCATCTCTCATTCTCTCCATCTCTCATTCTCTCATTCTCTCATCTCTCTTCTCTCTCTCTCTCTCTCTCTCTCTCTCTCTCCTCTCCTCTCTCTCTCTCTCTCTCTCTCTCTCTCTCTCAGCAGAAACTTACATGCACAGACTTGCCTGCGCACTGCACATGTACCCAAACTCACCTGCACAAATGGATGCAGGCACATATGTACACACGTAGGCAAACACACAACCACACGCATGTGTGCATACACATTTGCTTCTGTGAGATTACTGCTACAAGGATGTTTTCAGTCAGAACACCAGTGTCAAGTACTTTCTAAGAATAGGCCAGAGAAAGGGTGACAAGAAAGGGCTTAATATGAGTTCATCTTATTGGCACTGGACACTCCTCACCTGGCACCTCAGCCTGGGTATACTGGCTTTCTTTTCATATTATTTTCTAAGTCTTTTTCTGTAACTTTAGTTTTTGTTTTCTGTTGTGGTTATTCATCATTTCCTTTGGTTGACCACTGTATGTTTGTTTATTGCTTCCTCTTGTTTTTCCTTTAATCTTGCATCTTCTTTCTTTTGCAAATTCTCTTATTTTTCAATTTTCTCTTATGCGTCTATTTTTTACCCCTCCATTGTTTATTAAATCTTTCCAGTGCACTAGTTTTTGCATCTTTCCTTGATGTCTGTTTCCTTTTTTTCCCATCGTTCATTCCCTCTCGTCCTCCAGTCTTTTATTTCTGTTATGTATTTATAGGTTTGTTGGTAATTGTTGTTGTTGTTGTTATTGTTATTACTATTGCCATCATTATCTAACCAATGAAATATTTTATCAAATATTTTATCCAAAGTTTATGAATCATTTATTGGTTGATTAAAGGATGAATGCCTATACTCTTGTGGTGCAAGAATTTCAAATCTCTATATTTGGTTGCTCACGTCTCATGCTGTACACATAAATATTTAAAAAGTAACAACAGAGAAAGATTAAAATAAAACCTATGTACTACAGATGCATACCTAATACAAACATTTTAATAGACAAACTACTGTATAAGCACTTAGGTACATAGATACTAGATTCGTGTGCCTGCATGTGCACTTACATTTATGTGTAAATGCATTCATGTATAACTAAAACTTCCAAGTAACTTTAGGAATACCTCTTTAATGACCATAATGAACTTTGGTTGCTAGGGACTTAGTAAGATTACAAAGTCCAAGATTTAGTGTGATAAAGATAAATGGTTCTATCTATTGTGAAAGTTAGTCAGGGAAGTTCTAGGTAAAGAGAAGATAAGATAAGATTAAAGGTAATTTGTTCAGTAATTTGTTATGTTTCTTCCTAGCATCACATTACCCAATTATGTGTCGACTTTTTACTCACATTGTTGATATTGATGATGCATACTATGAATAGATAAAAAAATGTTGAGTAATGGTTGTGGCTTTGCGTGTGACTATTTAATCAGTATGTTTAATTGTTCATGTGTGTTATCTCTGGGTTTATCACTTATCATTGCCCGGAGTCATTTAGTCCAGTGGCTGTCACCATCTGCCTCAAATCAAGTGCTCTGTATATTAGTGGTGTTAGGAGAGTAGGGGGCAAAAAAAAAACTGACAAAATGACAAAGGAAGAAGTAAAGGGCAAGAAGCAAGGAGATGTTGAAATGACAATTCCTGATGCTATTATGTGGGCTGCAAAGGATATTATAAATGATCCAAGGTTGTCAAATCTCACACAGGAAAAGTACATACCTATGTGGAAGTATGGTAAGAGGATTTCTAACACTTATCCTACCATTTTAAATTATGGACATTATATATCATACAATTTAGATAAAAGTTTCTTGCAGTGTTCCTGAATAATATGAATTACAATTTGTTTATTAAGGATTTGAGAGGTAGGTGATGTGAACATGCCATCATAGAAAAAATTGGCTGAGGACCAGGGTGATGTGAACTTGCCGTCATGAGAATTTCAGCTAAAGGCCAGGGTAGCAAGAATGACGAGCCAAAAGTGCACAAAGCTCTTGGAGGGTGATTAGATTGGGCATTTAGGAACAGGAGGGTGGTTAGACTGGGCATTTAGGAAGGAGGGTGATTAGCTGGGCATTTAGGAACAGGCTTTTGCCAATATATCCATTAATAAACGAGTATGGACTATTCTATATGTGAGCCATGACTGGAAGGATGCTATTTCAGCCTATCATGACTGGCAGCGCTGGTTACAGAAAATTAAATGATACAAAAAAAATCGAAGTGACAAAAATAACAATATTATTTATTGTTATCATTTATTGCACTGAATTGTGGACTACCTAGAGAGATAAGGAATCTGTGCAGGGAAAACAGTTTATTACCATCGGATAAAGTATATCAAATGACAAATATAGCCATTGGAAAATTGGCAAAGCTAAAAACACTTATGCAGAAATAGATATTAATATTGAAAAAGTTAGGCAAGCAGTCTTGACAATATCTGTTGTCATTGCTTCTGCTTGCCAGTTTTATAATTACTTTGGAAATTTATATATGCGTTTCTTCTTCAGGTGCCCTTGTTCTAACAAGTGTGTATCTGGTCTTCGGATGGGGTGCTCAGTTGATCTGCAATGCCATTGGATTTGTCTACCCTGCATACTGCAGTATCAAAGTACAAACACTTAATTATTCTATTCATAGATGTTTAAGATAATTTTGAATGTCATGAATTTGCATAACAGGAATTTATTGCATTACCTTATGTATCTTTCGGATATCAAATAAATTTACTGCATCACTTAATCATCTATCCAATAGGCCCTGGAATCTGTGAGGAAAGAAGATGACACACGCTGGCTGACCTACTGGGTTGTCTTTGCCCTGTTCTCTGTTTGTGAATTCTTCTCGGATCTGCTCTTGTCATGGTTCCCATTCTACTGGCTGGCTAAGGTAAGTCTTCCAGGATAAGAGAACACTTACCAAAAAGCATACCTTTCATTAAGTGATTGTTGTAAATAAAATGTACAAGAACAAAAATCTTCTTTTTCAGTACTAATTAACAGTAAACATTTCTTGGTATAAATTTGGCTGCCTTTAAGGTAGCATATTGTAGAAGATTGTCCTAAATCTATGTTTGCTTGAAACAAGCAATTTTTTCTGAGAATTAGGAGGGGAATGTTGAAAGTCTACATGAGAAGTTAGCTAAGATCAATGTTTAAGAAGCTTAACGTGTCCCAGAATACTACTAAAGAAATTTAATGCTAATGGAATTTTTTTTTTTCCAGTGCTTGTTCCTGGTATGGTGCTTCATGCCAGTCTCCTGGAATGGATCAGAATTCATCTACAACCGTGTCATCAAACCTGCATTCATGAAGCATCAGCAGGAGATTGACACAGCCATGTCCAAGGTGACTGACAAGATCAACGAGCTGGCCGACTCTGCCACACGAGTTGCTGCTGATGCCATCAAGAAGGATTAAGGTGACTTTAGTTTGGTGTTGTGTGAATTTTACATTTATACACCCAATAAGATATTTAGTACTATGATTAGAGTTCATTGTGGCTTTTGTATAAAGGTATAAAAAATAAAGAATAAATTGACAGTGCAAGGTAATTACAGTCATGGACAAAAGTCATGTGAATGCAGCTGTGAAACCTTCCTAACTTAGATAGTAATGGTCACATTATGTGTCTGTTTAAGATACAAGTCAAAGCCTGTGTGACAATAGGTTTTACCATGACTGTACTTGGTGTACTGATTAATTTTACATCTTCAGAGCTGAATAATTTTTATGATATCATACCAGTGTTAGTTATTTCTTGCATGCTGGAATTATTCTCATTTATAACATTTTTGTTCAGTATTCTTTCAAGTTTTCTGAAAAGACTCACTAGTAGTGGAACTTTTGAACCTTCCTCCTTTGCACGATAAGTAAAATACTCAAGAGTATGTAAAAAATGTCTGAATTTGAATATAAATAGCCTTTCCTTTACAGGAGAAACTAGGTGTGTTGCTTGCGGAAGATAAAATGGTTGAACATATTCTTGCCATCCATATGCTGAGGTTACAGAAGAGTGTGAATAATTATTAGCTGGTTATAATGAGACTGATGTACATATTTTTTTGTTAGCTTATGAGCTTTTTCACAGATGCACATCTTTTTCATGAAGATTTTCAGACAGTAGTCTAGTCAAATTTGATGCTAACACTCAAGTATTATCTCTTCTTGGTACGAAGAAATGTGTCCTTTTAAATTAATTAAGTTAAATAGCTTAAGGACTTTTACAAAGGAAAACAATCTTTTCTTAAGGTATATTCTCCTTTTTATATTATACATAAAGGAAAAATGTAAACGTGTAGCTATATTTTCTTTGTGAGTTGGGTGGTTTCTGTCTTCCCTGCACATCCCTTGTTTCTTTGCACAAGTATTCTTTAAAGACCAAAGGTTTATTAAGGCTGTAATATGATGATGCATAACTTCAGTATGTGTACTTTTCATAATGGGCATTATCTTTCATTCTAGAATAAACTTTTCCAATTTATATGATTTTGTTTTTGTTTTCTAACCTTTATGATTTTGGTTTAAACCCATCAACATTATTCCTTGAATTGTTAAATCATTTTAGTTCAACAGTGATATCAAAATATGCTTCTTATGTAACAGCTGCAACTGAAAGGCAAAGATATGCTTATTTCATAATTATGTTGGTTTACTAGGCAGTAAAGAGGAAAAAAGATATCTAAATTTTGAGTGAAGAACAAGCAATTTACAAGAGTACTTGTACTTAAGGAAGATTTATACAAAAAAGAAGAATGTGTATATAAAGTATTTTAGCTATTTATTTTATATATTTATTTATTTTTTGCTCAGGGAAGGCAGACACAGGTTATTTTTCTCATACAATTTCTAATATGGCTTTCATAATTAGAGGCCAGTAATTATTGTGAATTGTTTCATGTTTAACTGTAAGGCAAGTTTTGCAATAGCTCTAAAGATTTATGAGAAGCAAAAGCCTTTTTCATGGCCTTAACCATGCTAAAGCTATAGTAAAATGTTCATCTGCATAGATGAAGCAGTCTAAAGGTATTTTGAGGCACAGTAAACAAAGGCTATTTTGACTTCCTCTGCATTGCTTAGATATTGCTACTCCAACTGCTGTAATAAAGATAGGGTATGCCTTTGTAAGTTTAGGAATCACAGTTCTCACTTTACTGATTTGATTATGATTTAGATAATGATTGCCATGTAAATACTAAGAAAATGAGTAAAGGAAATCTGCAGGAGCCTGTGCAGAGGACCATTTCATATTGACTTTGTCTTTCAGTGTTTGGAATTAATTTAGCACAAGTTATAAATTAATTTCTGACAAATGAAGTCAGAGAGGTTCTTTACATACCTCAATGAAGTCTTTGCTTTTTATGTTATTAGCAGTCAAAAGGTCAACTCCAGTAATCTCTTCAATTCTGATGCTTTCACACACTCGCAGAACATTCATTATTTAATCACGCTGTCTTTTTATTTAAAAAATTCAATATGAATATTTGATTATTTATTCCTTTTTGGAAGTAGAGAAAGTCAAGCATTTTGATATAATGCTTGAAAGTTTAGAGTAAAATAATTTCTTGTTTGTTTCCAGTCACATAATCCATTTTTGATGTGACTGCATGTGTAAGTGGCATGTCCACTGTGGTTTTATTAATTAATTTTGTTTACACTTGAATGGCTCTTTTGGTATTTATTCACAAAGACTCATTACTAGGGCTATTTGATCTTCCTTGTTTAACCCATTCCTTGAATTTTTCGAAAAGCAGACTTGTTGGTATTATTATAATAAGGATGTATATAATAATAATAATGAAATAATAATTAGTATGATGATCATAGTATTAGGAATAAAACTAGGAATAAAAAGGGGGTAAACAGGCTTGATAATGTAGGCCTACCAATTAACTTCTTGGTGATTTATCCTGTGTAAAAATTGAAAACAGAAAATATTATTAATTTATATATATATAATGGACAGAGCAAGTACTTGGTGCCAAATAGGTTAACTGAATTATGCAAGCTCTGACTATATCAGATGTTAAGTATAAAATAACCATAGTGAATGGCATGCCTTGTCCACTGTATTTTAGTTTATTAACCCCTTGAATCTGGATGCATCACAGCAATCACATAGATGAAAGTACAGGCATTAGGCACACGTGAATACTGGTGTGTGGTGAGAAGACTACATAAATGTCTTTAGCTTTTTTGCCATTTTCCAATTTCCATATATCTTTTGATTTGCTTCATCCAGATGTTAATAGACTGTTTACCCTGCACAGATTCCATATCTCATGCAAGAAAAAAAAGAGTAAAATTTTGTTATTTGCATCATAAATTTTTTGTAATATTAAATCTTCTCTAATAGAACCTACGTTGCTGGTCATGGCAGCCAGGAATAGCATGTTGAGCATGGAAATGACATCCTTGGAGTTGATGTTCTTCCAGTCATACCGTATGGATGTGATATTTCATGCTCATTTATTGATGGGAATAATGCAAAGGCCCCTTTCTAAACACCAAATAAGTCTAATCACCCTCAAAGAGGGTTGTAGATTTGTGGTGTCTTTTCCATCACTTTGGTCTTCATTCATGATGGCAAGTTTGCATAACCAGGCCCATGGCCATTTTTATTCATGATGGCATGTTCACATGACCTGCCCCTCCAGCCGGAATTTTTCATGACCTGATGATCACATCAAAGGAGTTATTTTGGTTACACACTGATGGGGCTTCTTAACCCAGTCACGCCGGGTACATTCTGTAGCCAAAATAAAAAAATCCAAGCGGCTACAAAATTGGCGGTCGGAGCTTCCCCGGAGTCTGTCCGCCCGCCCGGCCACGCGCCGCTTCTGCCTCGGAGCGTAGCCCCGAGACAGCATCACACTGGCGGTCAGCCCGACATTGTATATTTTTCCCGGTGTCTCATATATGTGACGCCCGGGGCGAATGGGTTAAGGACGGAGTCTTCAGGGACTCAATTATTAATCCTACCTATCTCACTTGTTTACCATTTTCCATGGTTTCCAGGAAGACTTTTATTTTGATCGGTATTCATAAGTATTTAAATAACATGCTAATAATCAGTGTCAATAATAACATGCTATTAACCCATTGGATCTGGATGTTCCACTGTCATCACATGGCCAAAATATGGGCATTAGTTTACTTGATTGGCCACTCTGACGATGTGTGACTTATAGCTCCATGCGAATACTCATTTGCTGTGACAAGATTATGCCTTCCCTTTCAAATATTATTTTCTCTTTTTCTGCATAAACGTTTTTAGGTTTTCTGCCATTTTTCAATGTCCATATATACCATTTTATTTGTTTTATCCAGATCAGAATTGACTTTTCCTTGCGCAGACTCCATATTATCTCTAGGTAATCCATAAGTCAATACAAGAATAATAACAATAAGTAACATTTTTTCTATATCTAAATTTCTCTAATGCAACCTGAGCTGCCCATCATGGTGGTTAGGAATAGGACCCTGAGTATGGAAATAGCATCCTCCCTAGAGCTGGCACTCTTCCAGCTCTGGCTCAAGGACAGTATATTTCACACTCGTTTTTGGAAAGGATGCAAAAGCTCCCTCCTAAACACCAAATAAGTCTAATCACCCTCCAAGAGGCTTGTGCACTTTTGGTGAGTTTCCATCACCCCAGCCTCACCTCAAAATGCTTATGATGGCAAGTTACCAAATTTTCCCATGGTGGTATGTTCACATCACCCGCTCCTCAAACTATTTTTTTTCTTGATGTGATGGTTCACATCATATGGATTATAAGGGTTAATAACATTTGGAAAAAAATAAAATGAAATAAAATTCAAGGAATAGGGAAATCAAGTGAGGTGACTAGCACCTACTAATTGACTCCTTAAGAGTACTTGTGGGGCCATCTGTACACCAAAAATCAAAATGCAAAAAACTAGTGGACAGTAACCAATGGGATAAACTGTCTTCATATCTAGGACATACATCTATATAAAATATCTACACACAAAATGTTTATTGAAATAAATTGTATAATGTTTAAATGTGCTGGTTTAATTTACAAATAAATGTGATAACCAAACATGGAATGATGCTTAGATATATGTACTGAAAGGAATATAAATGTTCATTAATATCTCTAGTATGCAGCTGTAGAATACTTGTTCTAAAAACAAAATCTATTAATTTCCATTTTCAAAAAAAAAAAAAAATAAAAGCACACAACAAATTTTCCTGATAAAGCACATTAGTATTCCTAATGAATCCAGAGGGTGCTGCTTTTCCAATATTCCTAAAGGAGACATGATTTGGAAAGATACAAGAACTCGAAGCCAGTAGGGAAGATCATCTGGGACCAATCTTGCAACTAGCATCTGGCATCTGAAGCTGAAGCACAAACTACAATGATATTGTGTGTCTCTATGGTAGAAAGCTGAACTAAACGGGTAGAAAACTAAACAAAAAAATGGGCCAGAATATGACCTTTATTTTATGAGTAAATGGAGTTTCACGGAGTGAGTGGTGGTTTAAGCATCATTTCAGCTGGAATTTCCATGGGGTTAAGACCAGGCACATTTTGGAGCTTGGCAGCTGATTCTTGTTGCAGTGTTTCCAACTGGAAGAGAAATATAAATAAAGAATAAATATGAATGATAGGAAGCTTGTATTGTGAAATACAGCTTACTATGAAGGGAAACAAGTGCATTTTATGAAAAATACAAAAAATGGAAATAGCAAAATTGAGAGCACAATGTAGCTAATGAACTTTATACTTAATGTTTATGTATTTTATTTTTGTGTCTAAGATTAATTTTACATTGTCAAACATAAAGGTCAATCTTTCCCTTTTAAAGCCTTAGATGAGCTTTCAACAAGCAATAGGTTTGCTATAAAAGAAATAAGAGAAAATGGTAATTATGAACTCTTGCATTCTTTTATTTATTTTTTTTTTTATTCTTCCATCTGTGTTCTTAACCCCTTGCCACCAGGTGGCATACAAGTACATGCCATGGCTGTTGTGG